GAAATAGTTATAGTGGGAACTTATCCCCAGAAGTTCGAAAAACAGATGGAATGCTGCCCATTTTATTTTGATGATGTTGGTAAGAAATTAACACCCTTGTATAATTAACTACAACCATTCGTTAATTAGAGCCATGCTGTTTATGGGAACACCATGACAGTCTCTTATGAATGTGGTATGATATATTAACTACGACCATTCGGTAATTAGAGCCATGCTTTTTATGGGAACACCATGACAGTCTCTTATGAATGTGGTATGATATATTATGCTAGTTCAGTTATTCCGCACTTTATTCAGTTTCAATTATGATTTTGATTTGTTTATAAATACAGGAAAAGTTTTAAGCAGTAAATGTACGTTTTAAGAAAAGAAAAAGTTAAGCCGTATTTAATTTAACTTTTGTGATTGTAAATGTGCTTAATATCACACGTAATGATAACAAATCGGTTCTAAAACAACGTGTTACACTAACCAAGTACTTGTCTTTTATCTTCATAAAAACTGGATTTATGATGACAAATTTCACATAAACTTTGTCTAATATTTTATATAAAACTATATTAAATTAGGTTTTGATTATGATAACTAAAAATTCAAACAATAAATGGATTTAACACAATAAAGCTATTTCTATAATATTAAGCATAACATATGAAAAACATAAATTAAGAACAACCAAACAACGTTCTTATTTAATTAGGAAATGATTTTAAATTTTTCATGAAGAATATCAGCTGCTTGATAAAAGCAATGCAAATTATAAAAATGTAAATGGGTCAGATGGTCTATCGGCCTAACTTACATCAGTCAGATTTGACCTATTATATGTAGTAAAATAAAACAGACTCAAGCTTTCAAAAAAATATTCTTAGAAAGCAGATCATGAGCTTTCTTTTACAAGATATTTATTTATTTTAAATAAAATTATTATTTTAATAATTTTGAATAATAAAAAAAAATTTGATTATTTTTTTAATTATTGAATACCTAATAAACTTAAACATGCTAATAGGCCTAAACCAAATCTTTTGTTATTTAAACATAAGACATGACAGACTTATAATTTGGACCTATATAAGATTAACAAATCATGTCAGACCTGGAATATTTTATACAGGCCAGATCCATTCAAAGTCTGACTCGACCTAACCCATATCTACCCCTATGCTGGTGAATAAAAAGATAAATTTATTTAAAAAAATTAAGAGTTACGATTCGCTACATGATCCGCTAGCACGATATGAGAATTTATGTTGAGATTTACTTATATTTATATTGATATCATGTTGCATATCTACTTGTATACAGTTATTAAATCAAAATATTGGCTGCCTTTTTTTGTGTTACATTTCTTTTTACACATTTCGTAATAAGTGCTTATGGAATGCATGATTCTCACTTTTCTTTGTATAACCAATCCTATAGGCTGTAGGAAATTCTACATATCAAATTAGACATGGAAAAGAGTTCGGGAAGCGGAAGGATGTACCACTTTTTAAAGCTAGACATATCATTATCATGCTATCCTTCAACCAAGCTACCTTCCAAAAAGATGCCAAAAAAGAAAAGAAAAAGAACTTGAACTTTATCTTAATTTATATTTAATTCTCTCTTTTTTGAATGGCAATAGGTGAATGTTACACTTGAATTTTTATGTCTACTCAGAACGCGTTTGAATTTTTGTCACTAATTAATAATAAATACTGCAACAGCCCAAGCACATTTTTTTTTGGTTGCCCAAGGTATCCTCCGGCCGAGAGCTACTAATCCTTTCGAGGCGAGAGATGGGTAAACTTCTCTTAACAAAACCTTTTCTATTTCTCTCAACAAAGTTTTTTCCATACGCACCGCCACGGATCGAACCCCTATCAGCATACTTAATGAACCCAACTATTTATCAACTGTGCTGGACTTTGTTGGTGAAGGAGATTTTGATTCAGCCGTCAAAATGATATGAAACCAAGGGGTTGCACAACTCAACGCTAAACAAAGTTTTAAAAACGTAACGCGTTATTCTGACCAAAACAAGTTCCCAAAAGAAGAATGAAAGGGTGAGTTTGCTTCCCAAAAGGAAGCATGGAGAGGTGCTAATTGAGGGGTGAAGAGATGGGGCAGTTAAGGAGAAGTGGGAACAAAATGATAATGTGATTCAAAGTGACAGCTCAAGGGAACAGAGGAATGCACGTGGAAGGGGAACAAACACTTGTTTCTAATCTAATCAAATAATTTTAAATGCATCAAATGGCTGCGAATCATACATGAGGTGTCACCAACCATTTCCTTTTGATATCTGCCTCTTTTTTAAGAGTTATGACTCATAATATCCTCACCCAACCAACCGTGAGCCTCATGGCCCAAAACTCATGTGCACCACTTCCTCACTCATCATGAACCTTATCTATCACATGCCTCATTGTGCACAACTACATCATTTTTGGATTTTACTTTTATGAAAAATAAAGCTCTTCTTGAAGCATTACTTACTCAGAAATAAAAATATAATGTTGTAGGAAAGTTGTTAGGATATGTTATAGAGATAAAGATTGTGAGACCCACACTTGTTTTCAAAAAACAAAAAGGGTGGGTTCAACAATCTCTATTTCTATAACATAACTTAACAACTTTCCTACAACATTATTCTTCTTTTTTCCTTACTTTACAATAGTGTGATGTATGCTTCCTAAAAATTGGACTTTTCACTTTTGACAAATTATCAAATTAATAATGAAAAAAGCGGGTTTGTTTATGTTCATTCTTTAAACAATTTCCGTCAATTTGGACAAAGTATGCACAAGAACTTGGATTGCATTTTATAATATGAAATGGAATAAGTGGTATTTCTTTTTTTCTTTTTTATAATATGAAATGGAATAAGTGGTATTTCTAGTACATATTGAGTAATTTCATAAGATCCATTGAAGGGCTTTTTAAAATCATTAATAACTTTCACGTCGGTGTCTCATTTGGAAAACTGTTGACAGTTTACTTCAAAAATATCAAGTGTCAAACTGAATATGCTATTCTTTTCAACCCACCAAGCAGAATCCACATTTGTCTCAAAGGGGATGAATCAATGTGCTGGCTCTCAATCATCTCTCTGAGCATCTGTATAAGGGAACCTCAGACCCTATCTTCTGCACCTATTTCACTAAAAATGCTGAGTTCTTCAAACAGAATTAAGTTTCTGTCTCTCTTTTAATTTTCTACTTATACATTGAAAACTAGGACTTCTAAAAAATACTCAGCCTTACTCCAAATTTCTCAACTAAAACAAAGTGAAGTTAAGATAGATCCCAAGATTTGATCTGCTTAAAGAATAATGGATTTGATTCTTGTGAGTCGCAATTCCTGAAAAGGATGGAGAGGCTCAAACTTGAAACCGGATTAGTGGGCCTATTAAAACTTAGGACATCTATTGATATTAAAAAAAAAAATGAAATTTTCCTGGTACAAGTTGTTTGTCTGTGTATTTATTTTCTTTACTAGAATAGTAATAGTGTATTAGACACACATCTCAAGCAATATTCATGGTGTTAACTTCTATATCCTGGTTAAGATTTCTGAAGATATGTTATGAGAAAACATAGGAAGGGAATCAAATCAAAGATGTCACATATACCGAGGGGTCAAAGTTTTCAGGGTAAATAACTGTGACTTCCATTCTCCTTTCTGATATCAAATATATGTTCTTCCATCCCTTTTGCAATGCATAGCCCATTTCCTGTGAGGGATGCAGGGAACAGTAAAACTTATCTTAAGTCCATTTGCAGGATATGGCTATTAGGAGACTTCACATGTAATATTTTGTACGGATAGACGGATAGTACCCTCTTTAGTCCTTAGAAAAAAAAACACGATGCTTTGGTCAACACTCAACATGCACAAATTTAAGATTATTCAACATTAAGTAGTGAGCTAAGGTCAATCCAAATAGGAACAATAAATTCACATCTGAATACATGCTTAAGAAAAAAACAACTGAAATTGACAGTGACACCAGCATTAATGCATTATACATAGAAAGTTGCTGATTAATTAGTTTATCCCCCCAAATTAATAAAAAAAAAATTATATTAATAACCATTTAGCTTCAACACCTGAATGCATTCAATCTCATCGATCTTCTTGTGATCAACATTGTAGCAATAAACCAGTTGTCTCGCTGAATGTAACACTTAACAATATGCAAATTTTTCAACAATTACGATTCAAGAAAGTAGAAGCATCTTTCTGAATCTGAATAAAGTACCTATATCTTATATCCATTCCCATGTATCAGAAATAAGTGGGTTCGCACTTTGCCCAAGAAACCTATCCCATCCCTCTTTCATATCTTATCTTTTCCTCCCCCAAGTTGTGGGGTCTTAAATGTTGGAACCATAGGATCAAACACTTGTTATTAAGTCAAAACTTATAATTAATTGTAAAGGTTAAACTTTATTTCTGTATAAAGATTTTTAAAGCCTCTTATAGCTTAAAGAGTTGCACCCATTATAAGTGGTATTATGGGCTAAGATATTAAGCATGTTAAATTCTAAGGTGATGTTGGAATTAAGCAGATAATAACTTCAAATGAACGGTGATTAAGCATCACCCTACAAGAAGTGCAGAGAAGGACAGAGTCCTTACTTCCTAGGAGTGGAGTGGTGTTAATTAATCATTTATATATAAGTGATATTTTATATATCTTAAAATCATTGCCGTGCATGTTCGTACATTTTCGTATCAGAGATGCAATGCTCAAAAACTAGCTAAGGAACAAGGTCAGCAACTATCAATAACTGGCACACTTGTATAATGCATATGTTGATCCCCATAAGGCCATATAATTATATTAGCAATAGCATAGGCTACCAATCATGTCAAACATTTAAAGCTCCACACCATCATTGGTTCATCATTTCTTCCCATGCCACAATTATATAAACCTTATCACTCTCCAATTACTCGCTACACTTTCATCTCTCTCTCTCTCTCTCATTATACATCTAAGAACTATGAAGTCCTCAAGATTTCTAAGAGGGTGCCTTAACAAGTGCAAGAAAATGGGGAGTGAAGTCATAACTTGTGCTGCTTGTAAGTATTGTTGTGAATGGGCTTTGTGGTCTTCTTTGCATAAAAGTTGTTCCATTCCAAGCGATGTTCCAAAGGGTCACTTGGTTGTCTATGTAGGTGAAAACCGCAAGAGATTTGTGATAAAGATTACATTGCTCCATCATCCACTATTCAGGGCCTTGCTGGATCAAGCTCAGGAAGAATATGATTTCATTGCAGATTCAAAACTCTGTATTCCTTGTGATGAGCATATCTTCCTCAGTATCCTTCGCTGTGCAAGCTCTTCAAAGAACCAACGATTGTGTCAGTGACTTTGAGAAATCATATACTGAGACATTAGTTTTCATGCAGTTGAAATTTTAAGTTCTAACTATGCTGATATGTAGCCATAATATGTTGTAAGTAGATTGAGATATATTTGTTATCTAGCTCACTCATGTAATTGATTCTAGTCTGTTTTGTTGCTCTTTTCGAGCACAAGATTTAGAGTTCATAAATTGAGCAAAGCAAAGCCAGTTTTCCAACAAGTTACTAAATTAATGACTGCATTAATGACTAAATACTTGGTATGACACATTTAAACTGGAGAAGGCATGTAATTATACCTTCATAATTGTTCGATCCAAGGGGATCGAGTGTGTCCAATTAGAGATTGATGAGTTTATATAGGATCAATATGCTCAAAAATATCTATGAGAAAGATATCGTAGAGGGTTGCAGGTCACTGTGCATAAAGAGGAGCGAGTAGCGAGGAAGTGGGGCTGTGTGCACGGCTAAGAGAGAATAGAGCATAAAGTGTATACTCGGTTGACTTAACCTCTTATTTATATACGAGTTATCTGGTATGAATAGGATGCTGGTCACTTGGGAATATAAATATAATACCCCTAATTCGTTTAATTAGAAAATGACATATGATTAAATATTTAATCATGCATAAATGGGTTAAATTAAGTAAAAGACCTAATTAAATAAATAAGGATTACTTTTGAGATAAAAAGTACAGTCAATAAAATTTTTGGGGTAAAAATAAGTGTAGAAAAAATTACCCAGAATGCAAATTGCAAAAGTAAAGTTAGAAATATGACTGAAAAAATATTCTAGTTCATTGGCTAAAGTTTGATATTGAATGGAAGTGTGTAGATAGATAAATTGTTACCCTTTACAACTCCTTATATAATTTCGTTCATACGCGCCGCTGTCTTAATCTTCTTTCTCTCTCTGTTGGTCGATGGCTTCCATGGAAGGGGGGGTTTGAGTCAATTCTTTTTCCTCTATTTTCTTACTCAAACAACCACCAAAATACAAAGTGCCATACATGAAAGTTTAAGTAAAAATCATGGTGAATCCATTCCACCCATTTGTGTGGGCTGAAAATGCTTGTGTGAGGAGCTCTCTCCTCCTAAGAATTTGATCACTATTCATCCTAGTGAGAGAAGTTGATTTTTGAGTGGAGCCAAGCTTGGATTTTGTTCCTAGGACCTTGGATAAGCGATTTGAGGTAAGAAATATTCATTTTAATGGTTTGATTTATATGATTTAAGTTTGGAATATTATGAGCATATGTTATGAAAAATTTTGGAGTTGAAAATTTGAAATTGATGATGAGTTAGTATGGTTTATGCTGTTATAGTGTTAAATAAGTATAAACATGTGTTTAAAGTTTGAAAAATTCCCTTTGAATCCCTCCCACTAGGTTCAGCCATGGTGTGAAAAATTAGGGTTTAATGTTCAAAAAATAATTGGACACTTTGTGAAGGTTGTGAATTGAGTGGATTAAGTGAATGACGCTTAATGGTGTCTTATGTTTTGATGCATAAATAGATGAATTAATGTGTAAAATGGATTTTATTACCTAATGATGATTATGGTTGTATGATAAGCTTGAATGTGATGGACTAAAACATTGGAATCATGAAATTGACATGATTTCCTTTATGTGCCTCTTAGCCGTTTACAAAGGAAGTATGTTTTTAGAGTGCTTGTTTGTGCTAATGAATACTTATACGACATAAGGACTATATAATTAGATGTTTAAACCTTTGGTTGGGTTAGATAAAAAGAAAAATAAATAAGTTCCTTCTTTAGGCCTTATATGTGATTATAGCCATTTCCAAAGGAAGTATATGCTAGGAGTTACTGTTTTGCAAAGCGAACATACTTTTAGGTGTGAAATAATATTCTAAGGTGTATGAACCTTCGCTTTGGTGAAATAAAAAAGAAAATAAGGTAGCTCGTTTGTATGACCTTAAAATGAGTTTTGGCCATTTTCAAAGAAGGTATACGTTTGGAGTTACTGTTTCGCCAAGTGAGAACATTTTTATGCGTACAATAATTTATATAGGTGGCTAAGCTTGGGTTTAGGAACTAGACAAAGAGAAATCTTATAGCTCCTTTGTAATGGGCACTTTGCCTTAAATTGGAAAAAATAGGCTTTTAGGTGCTAAAAGGAGTAATGAGTGTTCTAAAGGCCTTTTGGGACTATCCTAAGACTAAGTGAATATGTGAAAGTTTGTGAGAATTTGTTGAACAAAGAACCACCCACTCATGGCCTAATATGATTAAGTAAAAAGAAAATTGGTTATGACTTGTGGATTGGTATAAATGTAAAGAAATAAAAGTAAACAATAAAGTATATGTCTTGTAATAATATGGAATATTTTATTGAGTTTTGTTTCGGATTCTTTCTCTAGGTGTGCCTAGGGACTGAGCGTCTTTGGATTTCCTTGGAGCTAAATAGGTAACTTGTGATACAAGTGAGCAAATTGGTAAAGCTTCAAAAGGTAAGCTCTATGTTTATGGGATTCGCTCCTACTTTGTGTTCCGCCATAGTGTACGGACTGTGGTTGGGTTGTATGATATGTGTGAGATATATGATATAGATGCATTCATATAGAGCTATATGATAATATGATATGTTTTATTTTGATGTGATTTCTGTAATGATCTTTGACCATTGATCCTTGTGCACTGATGTCTGCTTGGGGTCTTACCTAGGGACTGACTATGTACATCTCTGATATGTTTTTGGTTCTGCTTGGGGTCCTCCCTTGGGAACATGTGCACTGATGTCTGCTTGGCGTCCTCCCTCGGGACTGACTGTGTACACCTCTATATGTTCTGGTTCCGCTTGGGGTCCTCCCTTGGGAACACGTACATTGATTTTCGCTTGGGGTCCTCCCTCGGGAATGACTACGTACATCTTTGATATGATAGGCTTTGTTCTGATGTGATTATTGTGATGATTTTCGTAAATGAATTTATGTGCGTTGATTTCCGCTTGGGGTCCTCCCTTGGAAAATACTACGTGCATCTCTGATAAGATATGTATATATGCTCAGTTTAGTTATGATATTTGTTACGTGCGTTGATTTTCGCTTGGGGTCCTCCCTTGGAAAATACTGTGTGCATCTTTGATAAGATATGTGTATATGCTTGTTCAGTTATGATATTTGCTTGTATGATGTTTTGTATATTATATATTTGACTGTCATGCAGGAAGTGAGCCCAGGGTATGGAGAGTTTTCCATAAACCTGGAGCTTACTAGAGATTCGTCTTTAACCTCGTTTGGGGATATGATATCAGGAACATAATTAATTGAAGAGCCCTCACGGGACAAGGACACTACCCGTGGCTAGAGGTACTAGTATGAGGATATGGAGTTCTGGATGGCCGGAGGCTACTATTTATTATAGATGTTGTTTTTGGAGAATATGTACTGTTGTATAGTGTTCTATTCATTTTGGGATCATAATGTTTGATCCATTATACAGTATATGGTCCGTATATGTTTTGTACATGTGTTCATATTTGATGCATGTACATTTGTGTATTCAGATATGTGCATGTGCTGAAATATGTATGTTGTTAGACATATTGGCACATAGCCAGTTATGCATACACCTATGGATGGGTATTATGTTGCTGGACCATATATGATTATATGATATGTTTAAGATGATATGTTTATCAGGATACCTTGAGAGTGAGATTCGCAAATCTCCGTTTGTCCGATTTATAGACTTTACTCTGTCTGATTTTCGTCTTCGTCGAATGAAAAATTAAACTAGAAGAAGTATGTAATAGGATATATCATGTGAAAAAGGATTAAAGAAAAAGAAAAAGTTAGTTCGTATTTTCGTAAGTTAAGTCTTTCGTTGTTTCTGTTTGTATCATATGTATGTTAATTGAACCGGCTCGAGACGGGAATGTTACAATTGAGAGCCAAATATTCGATCAATTAATGATATGATAACATTGATATCTTATCTCATAGGATTGTTTCTTTTTCTTTCTTAAGTAATTGTTTGTTGTGAGCTATTAAGAAATGGGCCAATAAGGTGGGTCCATAACAATAATCAAGGAGAAAATTGCATATAAGACCAATTGATTTTATATAGACGAGGAAGATACATTTATCTATTCTAATCTAATATCTATTTGTTATTTCCAGAGACATTTTTTATCTCCCAAAAAAGTTTCTTTGATAAGGTTATTTTAATATGCTTATTAAAAATTAAAATGATCGATTAAATTTAATTGACTAAAAAAAAAATTCAAATGAAATTGCAACTGAAATATCTATTCAAGAACAGAGGAGATTGTAGCTTGTTTGTTGCTCTCATCAACAAAAGATGCAAAGTTTGTAAGTTGAGCAAAGCAATAAGAAACGAGGTAGTCATCTTCTTGTTTTTGAGTTGTTTAGATCTGGATATGTGATCTTAGGTTGTCTAATTTTTTTCTACGTTTGAATATTCTCCACAAAATGCACTTAGGTATCCTCTTCATTTGATTGATAATTATATTAATGATCTGAGTTGTTTAAGTGTTTGGGGTGAAATCTATTTTTCTCGAGGTGTATTGTATGTCAATGTAAGAGTGAATCGATGAGGCAATAGAATGAACTAAAGCTCAACAATGGAATCATCTTTCGAGTGTGAGGCAAGAGTTGAGAATCAGAGGGAGGTGCCTGGCACATTAGGCTATGGTGAGACTAAAATCTGACATTATAAGAGCAATAAAGATCAATATGTAGAAGATGACCTTTCAATGGTGGAAAGGATCTGTAGCTTCTCTTCGATTATTATTTTTAGAGTAAAGTACTTTTTTGATACTCAACAAATATTACAGGACGCAATTTAATCTTTTAGAAAAAGAGTAAATATCTTTTTCGGTCCTCAGCAAATTTTTTACGATGCCTGCTGTAATATTCAAAAAAAATAAAAAAATAAAATAAAAAAATAAAAAAATAATAAATAATAAATAATAAATAAATAAATATAAAAAATTGACGCCATTAGCGCCAACATT